CCTGTGGCGCCAGCATCCTATATGGGTGCCAGTTCTAATCCTGGCTGCTCGACTTCTGATCCAGCTTTCTGCTATGGCCTGAGAAGGCAGTAGAGGATGGCTCAAGTCCTTGGGCCCATGTGCCCACATGGGAGACCTGGAAGAAGCTCCTGGCTCCTGGCTTCATATCAGTCCAGCTCCAGCCATTGTGGCCATTTGGGGACTGAACCAGTGGTGGAAGACCTTTCTATCTCTCTGTCTCTCCCTTTCTCTGTCTGTAAACTCTATCAAATAAACAAACAAAACCTTGGAGTGTTTGGGCTAGCAGTATAGACACTGGTTGAGACACCTGTGTCCTATATCAAAGTACCTCGTTTTGAGACACCTGTGTCCTATATCAAAGTACCTCGTTTTGATACCTGATTCTGACATTTATTGCAGCTTCCTATTTGTGTGGGCCCAGAGAGGCAGCAGCAATAGCTTAGGTAGTTGCAGCTCTTGTCTTTGGCTGCTGTGGGCATATGGGGAGTGGGAGCTCTGTCTCTCTCTTCTTCCGAAATAAATAAATACAAATTAAAGAATTATTAAAACAAAATAAATACAATCTTAGAAAGAATGCAGCTCCTACAATAGCAATTAAACCAGTAGTTTGTCACCCAGCAGTTCGCAGGAGAGGAGATTTGATACTGAACTTTCCCCTCTACACCTGATTGGATTATAAATCCGGCCATTGTATAACCCTGTATCTATATGGAAGACAATTTTTTCCCCTTGACCATAAATGCAGCCAACAAGGCTGTACAAGATACTGTGCAGTGCACATTATATATTTATGATATAATTTAATCCTCGCAATTCACTGATAAGAAAATGAGCACAATGAAGTTAAAAGACTTGCATAACGTCACATGGATGGGAAGTAATGGAGCTGGGATCACAACTCAAGTGTGACTCCAAAGCCTTTTTCCACATCACACTGGGGCTCCTGGCTCCTGGCTTTGGACTAGCACAGCTCTGGCCATTGGGGCCATCTGGAGAGTGAACCAGCAGATGGAAGATTGATCTCTCTCTGTCTCTCTCTCTCTCTGCCTCTCTTGTACTCTGCCTTTCAAATAAATAAATAACATCTTCAAAAAAAAAAAAAATAGGTGATAGGAGTTAGGGGCTGCTATTTAGCCTAGTAGTTAAGACACTGCTTGAGATAGCTCCATCCCATATCGAGTGCTGAGGTGTGAGTCCTGGTTCCACTCCTGATTCCAGCTTCCTGTTAATGTGTACCCTGAAAGGCAGCAGGTGATGACCAGGGTAGCAGTTGGGTCCATGCTCCCCATATGAGAGAACTACACTGAGTTCTCAACCCCCAAATTGCATGCATTTGAGAAATGGGCCAGTGGACAGGAGTGTCTGTCTCTATGGCTCTCAAATAAACAAATAGAAGGGAATTATGTAAAAGACATGAAGGAAGAAATTGTTGCTAAAATTTTTGGAATAAGTATCAAATCTCGTTTAGAAAGGTTTCTGTTAAAATGAGTATATTGGCAATGAAAGAAAAATAGTGCTTTGAAAGGGTAAACCTTTACATGAAAATCTTACAAGGTCAAAATAAAACATTGTCTCCCTATCTGCTTTTTCAGCCTAAAGGATCAGAAAAATTTATCAAAGTTTTCCACTTGCATTTTCTTCTTCTTCATTATTTATTGAAAACAAAAGTGTTTATTGAGTTCCTGCAAAGTGTTAGTAAAGATGAAGAAGAGTGCCTACTTGTAAATAGTTTAAAGGCTACCAGGAAACACCGACAACAAAAAATTGTGCCGCTGTGGGATGAGATCAGAGTTGTTCCAGAGATGCTTTTTGGGTTGAATCTTTCAGGAGCGGAAGGAGTTAAACAGAAAGGACTGCTGGTGGTGGCAAGCTGGGGAATGGGGTGAGGTGGAGAGAGCCTGTTGGGACTTCGGAAGCTGGGAAAACTTTCAAATCCGAAGGTGGAAGAGTACTGGGCTGCTTTTACTTCCAGCATCTTTTTCTGATTAAAACCGGTCTGCCTGCAGCCTTGCTGCCTCCCTGCCCCACCTAGAGGCAGTGTGGGATCACAAAAAGACCCGGGCTCCAGAGCGGGCATCTCGACTCCCGCCACTTGACTCAGTGTGTGAGCATGGGCAATAGCTTAACTTCTGGGAGGCTGTTTTCGCATCTAGAAAATGGAGTTTAAATAAGAGAATTTAGGTCAAGTTCCTGCCTCTCCGTTTCCCTGATGTCTTCCCCTGGCTTCAGTTGCTCTGGGAATTCCATTCTTTTTCCTTATAACTTTCTCATTGTTGCCCCAGTCTCTATCTTGCTCGCCAGGAAGGCTGACTGGGGGGAAAATGCATCAAGTTTGGCTGGAGAGGAGCACAGCTCACAGTGGTTCAGCAAAGAGGACTCCCAGTGGCTGCTACCCGCACAGCCTTCCCTCCTCCTCCTCCTCCTCTCCCCCTACCCACCCCTCCCCCAACCCCCTCCACGGCAGCACTGCTGCTCCTGGGATCTTGGGCTTTTGTTCTCTGGAGGCGTAGTAAACTACCACCTGTTTGCCCTGCCTTATGGTTGCAGGGGTACCGCCTGTTGCCTACAGACTATCGTAAGTTGAACCTGCCCAAACATACAGAGAAGCAAGAACTAAGTGCAGCCCTTGCTTTGTTTAACAGGAACACTCAAAACATGAAGGCGTTTCTGTTTTCCCTGTTCTATTTTCTGAGACCACCCCCACTCACAAGAATCACCCTTTCTTTACTTGTAGAACTCCTAAGAAATTATCTTTTAATACTGATTATAACTTATGTGTCTGTTCTAATGTATCTAAGTTCTTAGAGTCTGTAGTCTTCTCCACAGCAGTTTCTCAAACTTGAATTTGCGGGTAAGAACCACCTGGGGAGCTTGTTAAAATGCAGATTATGATTTAGTAGGAGTGTGGAAGGGCTAAGCTTCTAACAAGGTCCCAGGTGAAGGCGATGTTGCAGGGCTCTGAACCCGGCTTGGAGTCACCCAGCTTGGAGTCCCAAGGCCTGAAAGGGTTTGGTACAAAGGCAGTGCACAACACATGACTTCTGGAGGATGCCCAGGTCTCGCCTACTCAGTATCTTGGACTTCTATTCATTGCATGTCTCTCCACCTTTTCTTGTGCATCACATATGACTAACATCTGACAACTGTTCCTTTGGGTAATTACTTGGCTGTGCCCTTGCTCATAATCATCAATCTCCACCAGAAACAGAATCATTTAGTGAGTTCTGCAGACCTCCAGCCTCTTTCTACAATCATGTAAACTGAAACAGGGAGAACAACTTTAAAGAACCATTCCTACTCCTTTCTTTCTCGGCAACCTATGGTATTTATTATATCAAATTCAAATTCAGGATGAGGAGCTTTAAGACACAGTTTTTCTCTTTGCTTCACTTGGAACCCTCTGCATATTGCCACATACGACTTAATTTCTTCAAACTCCTTGCAGGACACTTTACATGGGGAATGTCTTCTCTCATTCTTTTTTAACAGCAAGCTCTCTTTCAAAAAAAAAAAAAAAATCTCAATTTTTTACCTACTTAATTAAAAGCCTTAATGAAGCTTTTCCAGACTTGTTTCCAGTTGTGCATCCTTTATTATAAGCTAGTTACTAACACTCATGTATTTTGACATTCCTGTGTTTGGCTGTTTTCAGACTCGGTTTTAAGTAGGACGTGTCAGTCCTTCACAGCTGTATACCCAGCACCTAACAGTGCTTGTCATACACTCAGTACTTTTTTTTTTGATTAATAAAAAATGAAAAAAAAAAACCCTTCAGATTAACCTGTATTAAATTTCAAAATGCCTCAATTACTACGTATGTGGGGTTTTCAAGTTCATGGAAAATGCATACTGTGAGAAAACTGTTTCATAATTTTTGCACAGAAATAAACATCTTTGAGTTCCATTTCCCCACTAACTTTTGGAGGTTCCTCGTATTTATCGGGAACCCAGGTGAATGTTAATGGATAAGCAATATTAAGTCAGTTCTGGTGACATAGCTTTGGCACAGTAAAAATATTAAAGTATTCATTCATATCACAAGGCTGGGCCCATTACTGGCAACATAGCTTAAAATGCATGGGCTACAGAATTGAAAAATAATCTTTAAAATTTCTAGAGAGTATTTCAGTAACACTTCAAAACTGTAACAGCTGCCATCTTACCAGGGAAATAAAATTTAGATGCAGTTGAAATTTAGTGCGGGGCCCAAACCCACATCCTATCTAAAAGGCTTAGGCTTTCCTGTCATTGTTTTCTACCTTTTACATTCGTTAGGATTGCCTATGTTTCTTAATAGTTCCAGGTGCTTTAAATGTAAAATAAATGAAATGGGGCTTTCTCATATTACGATTTTTAAAAGGAGACTGCGAGATCCATTCAGCGAGGTGCAAGAGGCCTACAAGCTGCACACCCCGCAAACCGCCTCCTGCTCCAATTTCATCTATGGGCTTTTTTTTTTTTTTTTTTTTTGCACAGCTCTTCTTTTTTTGGATGATGCAAACTGTGCAAGAGCTCTATTAATGCCTCCCCACCCAGGGAAACGATGCAAGAACATAGCTTACGCTGCCAGTTTCTCCCTAACACGCAGCCAAGGGCTACAGGCCTGGATACCCGCCCCCAAACCTGGTCCACAACAATCGTTTCCTCCCTCCCCGCCTTTTACATACAGTACACATACAAATACACACACGCAGAGCGGCCAGCAGGGGCGGGCCGGGCCCAACCACTCCGCCAGCCGCAGGGGGAGCCACAGCAGGCCCAGCTGTTTCGGCTCACTCCTTAGCTACTTTGCACCCGTCTCCCACTGCCTCTGGATGCATTTGCCAGGCAAAAGAGAGCTTTCATCTGTAGCGTCTTCAGAAGCTCTGCTTCGGAGCCGCACACCTGGGCGAGGGACGGCATGACTCCCCCCTCCCCTTGCGAGCAGTTGGTTCCGCCCTAGTGCTAGCGGGCGCCGAGCGGGAGCCGCGCGGGAGCAGCGCAGCGACGGCAGCGGCGGCGGCGGTTGCGATTCGGAACCGTTGGGACGCCTCTGCGGCAGCTGGTGGCGCAGGTGGCTTGCGTGGACGCGGGCAGAGGCGGCCGGCCCGCCACTGCAGCCTCCGCGCCCGCGGCCCCGGCAGGTGAGCGGGCGGCAGCGAGTCGCCCCGCCCCCCCTCGGTGGCCTCGCTCCTGGCTGTAGCGGGGAAGTGGACGCGGCCCTCCCGGGGGGCCCGACGAGCGGCCCCAGCCTGCGACCGTCGGACCGCCGGGTGGGGGGCGGTCGAGTGTGCACGGGAGGGGGGTCGTTCGCGTCTCTGAACCGCCTTTTTTTTTTTTCCTTCCCTCTGCCCTGCACCCCCTCCCTCTTGGGGCTTGAGCCCTGAGGAAAAAGCTCCAGGGAGGATGGGGCGGGAGGGAGGGGAGTCCGGGGCCGGGCAGCATCCCTGCCTCAGGTGGTGGCGTCGTTGGAGCGGCGGGGCTTCCTGGCCCGCAGGGGCAGCTCCGGGGCTGCGGAGGCCGCGCACTTGCAGGGGCGGAGCGGGAGGCGGCCCCGCTCGCGCTCTCCCACCCCCTCCCCGCTGCCCTTCCCCCTCCTCCGCTCCCCTCCCCCTCCCCGTGAGGCCCCTCCCTCCGGGCGTCTTCGCTTTAACCGCCCTCGGTGCTGTCCCTCGCAGGCGCGTCGGGACGCCCCGCGGCATCCTCCTCCGCCCGCCGGCCGGGGAGCCTGCGCTCCCGCCGCATCCCTCAGCCGCCGGCCGCGCCGCCGCTCCTCCTCCTCCTGCTCCTGGGCTGTAGACCCCCGGCCTCGCCCCCGAAACATGACTCGCGATTTCAAACCTGGAGACCTCATCTTCGCCAAGATGAAAGGTTATCCTCATTGGCCAGCTCGGGTGAGTGAACGGCAGCCCTGGCGCCGGGCGGTGCTGCTCGTGCCTCCTTCCTCGGAGGCCTGCTTCCTACCGCGGCTCCGAATCTCCCCGTCGCCTCGTGTGTAACCTGACCTTCCCTTCTAGTTTTTTTTTTTTTTTTGTCCGGAAGGCTCCCGTGAAAGTAGAAAAATGCAGGTGCCCCCGCGCTTGGTTTCGTGGGCGACTTCCCACAGGTTTTCTTCGGAGCGAAGGAATATTGAAAGGAGATGCCAGTGACGGCTCCCTTGTAGGTGAAATAATAATCCGGTAGGGGTGTTAGCTTTAGAAATTGGTCCAACATTGACGGTGTCTTACTGCATAAAATACAAGATGTCAGTGGGGTCTGTGCAGATGAAAGATGTGCAACAGAAAGGTGTCTGATTAAATTGGACTTAGGAAGTTTTAAGTATATGCAAGAATGTGTAAGTAATGAAGCCTTACAGGTGTGCTAATTTAATGAAGAGATTCAGGACTGGGTGTTCTTAAACATCTAACAATGAGTAAGTACCAGGGAAGGCCCAGAAAATGTTTTCCCACGTTTTTGTTCATGCTGTTTGCTTGGTGACCTTGAAGAAGTAGTTTTACCTTTCTGTTGTTTCCCATAGGCAAAAGGAGTAGACCAGAGTTTTCTAGGTTCTCTAGAGGTACAGAGAAGTCATTAAGGACCCAAGATGTTTTGTGGCACTCAGGAGTTGAGTCAGTATCTACGTGATATTTCAAAAAAGATCTTTTTGTTAGTTTGTTGGGAAACTTGCTTTCTAAGACAATAACAGGATCTAAAAAAAGGTTGAGATCTGTTAGATTAGGTAAGCTCAAGATCCTTCTAAAGTCTGACCATGTGGTACTCTAACGATGGCATTATTTTTACAAGCCGTTTATTTTCCACTGTGTTTTTTCCTTTGAAACCGTGTTTCTTAAATATTAAATCCTGTGTCTCAACTGAGAAGGGGAATGGGGGGAAAGACCCATTAGGTAACGGAATTGTGGACGGAGAAGCTGAGAGAGAGTGTCAGCCAGCTGTCAGATGCTGCTGCCGGAGGTTGCGCCCATGCAGCCCTTCAGACACCTGCACAGGTTTCATTCCAAAACTGTGTACTCCTTGTTTATCAAGTCTACCTTTTCAGTGGAATCAACTTGAAAGCTCCACAGTGATGATCCTGGTTCATATATTTGGCATTCTAATCTATTGCCTTTATGAAAATCTTTTAACTCTTAGTTTGAGTATAGTTTGATTTTCAGATGTATTGTGAGATGCGTGAAGGCAGAAGCCTGAAATGTCTCTACCTCCCCCCATCCTTAATACATAACCTTGCATGTTTAAACATATATTTGAAGAAGGCCCAGGAAAACTGTTTAAGGGTCGGTTTAAGGCCTCTGCCTGATAGTATTTCATGATTTTAGAAGCATCCTTTTTATTTATTTTTTTGAGGCACTGTAAAGTCCAAGATTGTCTTATTACATCTGTATTCAGATCTCTGTGCCACAATGCCGTTGAGGGCCAAATAGGAATGTTTTAAAAATTACCTACTTCCAAATCATCCTCTCCACCCTTTATTAACGTTAGGTGATGAAACTTTTAGTGCTATTAAAAGTGAAATAGCTTTGGGGGAGCCCAGGTTTCTCCTCCTTGATTTAACAAATGCTATATTTAATAAGTTCATTTAAAAAAATAAAAGTTCATATGGGTTAGAATGTGAGATTTTTGTCTTTTTTTCCTTTTCTCATTTTTTCTTTGAGGCAATTAATTTGGTTTTGACAGTCTATATCCTAGAATTATGTTCTGTTCTTCAGTTTTAGGAATTCTAAATCCTGGCTGAGGAGAATGAGGGGGATGTATTTAAGGCCTCAGCTGTAAAGATGATGCCTGTTCCAGTTTTGGTTTTAACATTTTTTGTTTACATATTCCAAACTTGATTCTTCTGTTTTTTAATTTTTTTGAGATTTTTTTAAAGGTTTATTTATTTGAAAGGCAGAGTTACAGAGAAGCAGAGGCAGAGAGAGAGAGGGAGGTCTTGGATCCGTTGGTTCACTCCTCAGATGGCTGCTTTGTTGAGGCCTGGGCCAGGCAGAAGCCAGGAGCTTCCTCCGGGTCTCCTACGTGGCTAGCAGAGGGCCCACACATTTGGACTTTCTTTTGCTTTTCTCAGGCTGTTAGCAGGGAGTTGGATTTGAAGCGGAACAGTCAGGACATGAATGGACTCCTATATGGGATCCTGGTATTTACCTGTGATGCCACAACGCTGGCCCTTTTCTAATCTTTTATCAATAGTTCTTAAAATCAACTTTTTAAAAAGTTGCTTAATGTTTATTAAACTCTGTAAGTGCTAGGCGTTTACACAAAGTCTGAAAGCCTTCTGCCAGCAGAAGAAACATGTACCAGATTGACAGAAAACATACACCTCTGGTCTTTTTCCACAAAACTGAAAAGACTGGGAGAACCATATTGATAGGGAAATCAGAGTTCCTGCAGATGCTGAGTGGTAATGAATTCTGCCAGACAGTGGAACCTTTCTCTTGCCCTTGCAAATAACCAGTCTAGTTATCCTTAGGATTTTTCTTCAACACTACGGTGCTTATAGAAGCCCATTGATCGGCAGTGTTTTTCTTAACAAAGCTGATTTTGTAAAAAAATTAAGTGTTTTTGAAATTATAAAACGTTAATATTTAAAATAAAAATGTTACTAAAATCTGCTAGGAACAATAACCTAGGGGCTTTAACCTTGGATTTGCTTTTTCCTTACGGATAAAAGAGAATGACAAATATTACACATGCATTAGACATAGTAGAACCTGATGCTTTCTTCCTTAATTAAAAGGATTGAAGGCAAATTGAAAAAGGGACTGTATCCTGCTGTGATTCAGCCATATAGGTGAAGGATCTTTCCGTAATACATGTTGCATCTTTTGAAAAATACTGCTTTCAACTTTTGTTAATATCTGTTTTTACAATTATTCTTTATCTAGCCTTCCTACAGAAAGATCACCTAGGATTGTCAAACAGATTTAGACTCATCTGAAATGCTTAGATTTTGATATGATTTAAGAATTCAGAAGTTATGGTTGTAAGAAGGTGGTGATGGTACAAGTGCCATACATTTTGCTACTAATAGGATCAGGCATAATACATGATAACACAGTGTTTGTGCAGAGAACAACAGTGGAAGTACTAGTTGAGTTAAGGAAATGAGTATATTAGCCTTGTTTCCAGTGGGTTCCAGAACTGGGGATATGGGATTATTGGCTCATAGAACTGGTCTGTTTTGTTTGATATCCTTTCCGGATGTCTTGGTCTCAGTTTATTCAGTTGTGTTGAGATATGTATGATTTAGAAGATTTTCATTTTTCTAATCTTTCTTTTAGGTAGATGAGGTTCCTGATGGAGCTGTTAAGCCACCTACCAACAAACTACCCATTTTCTTTTTTGGAACTCATGAGACGTAAGTCCTGTTGTCTTTAAAGGCAAGACTGTTAATTTAACTGGGTCATGGGACATAAAATGAAAACCAAGTAGAGATTCACTCAAGGGGGAAAACTAAAATAATAGAAAAACCGTAAAATCCTCCATGAACTTTGGAAAAACATATCCTTCAATCTTTAAGGTAGCGATTAATGACACTGTAGGCTTAATTTTTATGTGAGTAGAATTTTTTCCCTTTTTTTTTTTATTTTTAGTAGATGTTTTCTTGATCAAAAAAGAAGGTAAAGATCTTCCCAGCATTCAGAGGGCTGCTTGGTGGATGAAAGTATGAAGAAAAGATTTAATAGTGCTTCAGTATTCCTGTTAAGAAAACAAGTGCTTTTTATAAGGACCACATGGCACTCCATTTGTGATATGAGCCACACAAACTATATATGTGGGAAAGATGAGAGAATCTGAATAGAGCTCTGTGTGTGTTTATGTAATGGATCCCTTGAGCCACTCTGGCTGCTCTACTGCCCCTGGTGAATTTGAGGGCAGAGAAATGATTTGGTGAAGCAAGTTAATTTTTCAAAATTGCAGCTGAGAGTTGAACTGTTAGCCCTGGGTACAAAGGATTACTCTGGAGGCCATCTCATTAATTTCCAAAAATACTATTCCTACATGCCTATAATTTAATAGCTTTACAAGTACTGCATATCTGATTTTGGATTTGCAGTAATTTTCAGAGTAGGCTTGTTTACCTGGGACATGAAGAAGCAAAGCTGTTGGTACTCTAATTAGAATTTTGTATTCCTAAGAGTGGCTACGGTGATAGCATTTGGTTTAATGTTGCTTAGCTACTGTATAAACTTCTCACTAACAGCAGCTTTATTGAAATGTAATTTACATGCCATAAAATTCACCTGTTTAAAGTATGTAAGTCAGTAGATTTTAGTGTATTTACTTCCGTACCTACCTGGTGATCACTCTTGGTTCCACCCTCTGCAGCCACTTGTCTGTATATATTTGCTAATTCTGGACGTTTCATATTAATGATATCTCATGTCACATAATTCTTTTTATTTTTTTTTTCAAAATAGTTATTTTTTAAGTCCATTTTCCCATATGCTTTTTTTAAAAAAAATTTAGTTGAGAAGTAGAGTTACAGAAAGAAGGAAGGAGAGACATAGAAAAAGGTCTTCCATCTGTTGGTTCCCTCCCCAAATGGGTGCAACAGCTGGAGCTGAGGTGATCCAAAGCCAGGAGCTTCCTCCGGGTTTCCCACATGGGTGCAGGAGCCTAAGCACTTGGGCCATTCTCCACTGCTTTCCCAGGCCATAAGCTTAGAGCTAGATCAGAAGAGAAGCAGCCGGGTCTCGAACTGGTGCCTCTATGGGATGCTAGCACTGCAGGCAGAGGCTTCTTAACCCACAATGCCACAGTGCTGGCCCTCCCATGTGGGCGCAGGAAGGACTTGGGCCATCTTCCATTGCATTCCCAGGCCATAGCAGAGAGCTGGATCAGAAGTGGAGCAGCTGGGACTCAAACCGATACCCATATGGGATGCTATCACTGCAGGTGGTAGTTTTATTTGATATGCCACAGTGCTGGCCCCCCTTCACAGTGTTTAAAAGTGAGTGGTTTTGGGGCTGGTGCTATGGTGTAGCTGGTAAAGTTGCCACCTGCAGCCCTGGCTTCCCGTTTGGGCACCCATTCCAGTCCTGACTGCTCTGCCTCCAGCTAGCTGCCTGCCAATGCGCCTGGGAAAGCAATGGAAGATAGCCCAAGTACTTGGGCCCCTGCAGCCACATGGGAGACCTGGAAGAAACTCCTGGCCATTGGAGCCATTTGGGGAGTGAAACTAGCGGATGGAAGATCATTCTCTGTGTGTGTGACTCTGCCTTTTTTTTTTAAGAGCTAGAGAGAGAGAGGCCTTCCATCTGCTGGTCACTCCCCCAAATGGCCGCAATGGCTGGAGCTGGGCTGATCAGGAGCTTCTTCCAGGTCTCCCATGCAGGTGCAGGGGCCCAAGTACTTGGGCCATCATCCACTGCTTTTCCAGGTGCATTAGCAAGGGAGCTGGCTTGGAAGTGGAGCAGCTGGCACTCATGGGATGCCACTTTAACCCACTGCACCACAGCGCTGGCCTCAACTCTGCCTTTCAAATAAATCTTTTTATATAAGAGTGAATATATAGTAGACGGTTTAAATTATAAATATCTGTATTTTAAAACAAACTGCACAAAATAAGCACTTTTTGATTTAATAAGAATTAAGGTGGTTAATAAGACAATGAATTATTCCGGTTCAGTAAATTAGTATATATTCAAGGAATTAAAATGTCTTTAAATTAAGCTAATGATACCAAGTTTTCCTTTCAAAATGCACTCGGCAATGTTTTGTGCCTAACTTTTAAATATACCATGAGTCTTTTTTTTTTTTTTTTAAGATTTATTTATTTGAAAGAGTTACAGAGAGAGGTAGAGACACAGAGTCTTCCATCCACTGGTTCACTCCCCAGATGACTACAATGGTCAGAGCTGCGGTGATCTGGAGCCAGGAGCTTCTTCCTGGTCTCCCATGTGGGTGCAGGGGCCCAAGGACTTGGGAGATCTTCCGCTGCTTTCCCAGGCCATAGCAGAGAGCTGGATCGGAAGAGGAGCAGCCGGGGCTAGAACCAGTGCCCATATGGGATGCCAGCGCTTTAGACCAGGGTGTTAACCCACTGCGCCACAGCACCGGCCCCACCATTAGTCTTTGGAAAGGTAGCACTATATATTCGTGGGTGTGGTAACTTTTTTTCTATTTAATATTTTAAAGGGATCTTTATTTATTTAAAAAGCAGAGTTAGAAAGAAAGACAGATCTTCCCATCTGCTGGTTTGCTCCCCAAATGACTGTAACGACAGGGGCTGGACCTGGCCTGAGCCAGGAGCTTCTTCCAGGTCTCTCATGGGGGTGCAGGGGCCCAGGGACTTAGGCCATCCTCTGCTGTTTTTCCAGGTGCATTAGCAGGGAGCTGGATTGGAAGTAGAGCAGCTAGGACTTGAACAAGTGCCCATGTAGGATGCCGGTGCCACAGGCTGACGTTTTGCCTGTTACACCACAATGCTGACCCCAAGATTAATTTTTAGAAAAGAGGTCTCTGTTCATCTTTCTCCTCAAAAGTTGGGAGGGCATGGGCCGACACTGTGGCACAGTGGGTTAACGCCCTGGCCTGGAGTGCTGGCATCCCATATGGGTACCAATTCGAGACCTGGCTGCTCCACTTATAATCCAGCTCTCTGCTGTGGCCTGTGAAAGCAGTGGAAGATGGCCCAAGTCCTTGGGCTCCTGCTCCCACGTGGGAGACCTGGAAGAAGCACCTGATTCCTGGCTTTGGATTGGCGCAGCTCTGCCTATTGTGGCCAGTTGGGGAGTGAACCAGTGGATGGAAGACCTCTCTGTGTAACTCTGACTTTCAAGTAAAATAAATCTTTAAAAAAAAAAAGTTGAGAGGGCAGCTATGTAAACTTTTTGTTTAGATTTTGCATAAATGAAAGTTTATCCTAATATCCAGGAATTAGATGGAATATAAAGAACAGACAAGCAGAAATAGCAATTTGGAAAACTGCTGTAATTCATAATAATTTATAGTCTGCATTTTTGATGTATTTATTTAGAACAAAAACTTGGGGCTGGTGCTGTGGCGCAGTAGGTTAAAGCCCTGACCTGAAGTGCTGGCATCCCATATGGGTGCCAGTTCTAGTCCTGGCTGCTCTTCTTCTGATCCAGCTCTCTGCTGTGGTCTGGGAGAGTGGTGGAGGATGGCCCCTGTACCCATGTGGGAGACCTGGAGGAGGCTTGAGGCTCTTGGCTTCAGATCAGAGCAGCTCCGGCCTTTGTGGCCATCTGGGGAGCAAACCAGCAGATGGAAGACCTCTTTCTCTGTCTCTACCTTTCTCTGTAACTCTTTCAAATAAATAAAATAAATCTTAAAAAAAAAAAAAAAGCAAAGTCCTTTTGTAGGTGCTTTCTTTTCCTGACCTTCAAACATTTTACAACATTGAAAGTCAGTTTGTATAGCCATCAAGTTTTGAGAATTAGGCATACCACAATACCCTCTTCTAGGTATCTTTTTTTTTTAAGATTTATTTATTTACTCGAAAGGCTGAGTTACAGAGAGAGTTCTTCCATCTGCTCGTTCACTCCCCAAATGGCCAGAGCTGGGCCAATCCGAAGCTGGGATTCAGTACTTAGCTCAAATCCTCTGTGTATGTTTATTTTCTCTATTATACAATGACTGAATTTTTTCTTCTTTCTTCACCTACACATGAAGAGCTAGGACATCAGGGGCCTTGTCTTCATTCATCTTGTCATCATTTACTTAAGTGCCTGGCATCTAGTAGCTGTTAAGTAAATATTTGGTGATCGAAAGCTCTGTAAGCTAGATAATTGTTGATTATGAATTTTCTGACCATTTAGCTAACACTGTATCATGCTTAAGACAATTAATTCAGAAGTAAATCCTCACTGCTATTTGCCTGCTGTATGACCTCAGGCAGATTACTTGTCTTGTGTTAATTTCTTCCTAATTTGTAAAAGGAATAGCAATATAATCAACTTCAGAATTTTTGGATCCATACAAGGTTATTTCTTGATAATTGCTTAGACCACTGCTTGGCATGTGTTACACAAAACAAATGTCAGCTGTTACTCATGACAAATTGTGCAGCTTTGACTTTCATTTTGGGAATGATATGTGGAAATTGATAAATTAAAGGTAACATTACATATTTTTACAAGACTGCTACTTGCAGTGTGTATGGAGTTGTTTGAAATGCATGTCAGTTTGAGTTTTGCTCGCTGAGGAAATACTTTCACCCAGCTCTGTGTCTCTGAAGTGTGAAATATTTAAATAAATATGCTGTTTTGCTGCCTTTCTCTTTATTTATTTATTTTTTTGACAGGCAGAGTTAGAGAGACAGAAAGTCTTCCTTCTGTTGGTTCACCCCCCCAAATGGCTGCTATGGCCGGCGCACTGCGCTGATCTGAAGCC